GTCATTGTCTTTCTTGATTATACGTAGGTTATCAGCCGTAGGCTAGCTCGGGTTAGGGTTAAGAGACTAAGCTTATCTAACAACCGGTGCTGTAGTCCCCGACCGATGGATACTGTTTCCCGACGGAGACGTGGACATCAGATGGCGGAGGAGCCAGAACTGGATACGGACGTCCGTGAACAAGAGTACATGACAGCCTTGGGTCAAGCGGGTGGAACTGACGCTGTCCAGGGACGAATGTTCCGGGGCGAAGTGTCGCCTGGGACTTTGGAGTCCGGGGAAGCGGGATCAGTAAAGACTGGTCCAAGTCAGCTACCAGTGGCTAATCCCTTTCACTCGGAGCGGGTGAAAACAGAAGTTGAACTGCTTCGCAGTAGGCCAGTTTCTCTGGATGAGGATAAGACTGGGGGCAGACGTGGATGAGACAGCTCTGGGAGATTCTACTTGGGCTGGAAACCGGGGAGAACCAGATTACTCTCTGCTATTGGAGCCTGTGAGAAGAGAAGGCCTGGAGCGGAGGAGTGGAGCTGAGGCTCCTCGTGTGGCCCGTGTGGAGCCAACGGAGGTTGGTTGTGTTATAGAGGAGCCTGACGAGGGAACCGTGGGGGTCTCGAAGGACAAAGTGGAGCCTTCAAGTTTGAAGGTTGAAGGAACTTTCCAGTCTGGAAGGATGGGTGAAGGAGCTGCTAGGGTGGACATGGTGTCTGCAGAGGATCCGCGGGAGTTAATCCCAGCTGAGAGTGATAGGCTCTCAAGGGTGGAAGCCCTTCTCACCAAGGTGATGGAGGAGAACCAAGCCCTGCGGAGGCAACTGCAGTCGGAATCCAATAGTAGCTGGCATAGTGCCCGTACTCCGGCGGAGATGCCTACTTCTCCAATGTCTTTTGGATACGGACCACCACTGATGACGGGACCTTCGGCTGCTTTTCTAGGTGTACAGTCTCTGGATATGGGAGTTTCACGCGATTTCCCAGGGGGTGGTGGAAGGATTAGATCCGAAGGTGATTGGGTTCTTGGTTCAGAAGGGATTCCTGGGATGCAGCATTCTTTGGCCAGGGCTAAGACTGCGTCAGTGGTAGAGCCGACTAGGGTTGTGCCTAGAGGGGATGAGTATGGAGCCCCGGGGTTGCAGCCAGTAGGAGCCGGCCCCCTTGGAATGGAGTTGGAACCTAGCCCTGTGCCTATGCCACCTCCCCTACCCCGTCATGAAATGGTGTCGTGGAACCGTGATAGTAGGGTTAGTGGAGCCCAAACACTACGACAGTTTACTGAAACCGCATTAGCAACGGGGTCAGGAGTGATTGAAGCGGGGACTGCGGGTTTTCATACGCCGAGGTCGGGGTCTGGAGGTCCAGGTAGGTTTGATGCGGAAGGTTACCCGGTATCCCCGGGGGGAACTAGTATCAAGCCTCCCTCTGGCCCGCCGCCGACGTCACCGCGGAACCTTGCTCCGCTTCTCGCTCTTGGCGGACCTGGAATCAGAGGTGCGCCCTGGGGTTCGGAGGGTTTTCCAGGGTCAGTGGAAAGAGTGGGTAATCCCGATAAGCCTGAGGAGCCTGCGCGTTATGTAGACTCTATCCCCAAGTTAGCCCAAGCGGATCTCTCGGTGTCGGCGGTTACCTGCGGGAATTGGTTAGCGCAAGTGAGACAGATTTTCGTTGGGATGTCGCCGGGGTCAGTAGAGTGGTATGGGGAAGTTGAAAGCGCGGCTTATGGGGCTTACCATAGATGGTTAATAGCGGACCCGTTAGGCCGTTTGGCCATTGATCCTAGCTCAGTAGTGGCGGGGTTCAACTCCTTTCGGTTTCAGAGGGTTGAGAGTAGGGCAGTGACGTTGCTACTTTCGGCGTTGCCGGTTACGGTGAAGGATGATTGTGTGATGAATAGGTGGTTGAGTTCAGCCTCGATTTTGTTTAGGGTTTTGTGCATTTGGCAACCGGGTGGTAGTAATGAAAGGGCTCACTTACTCTCTCAGCTAGTTCAACCGGAACAAGGAAAGAACTTTAAGGATTCTCTCCCCACGCTGCGGCGATGGCAGCAGAACCTGCAACGAGCGAGGGAGATCCAGGCAACGTTGCCCGATCCTTCCTTGCTCCTACGGGGTGTGGATCAGGCGACATCAATAGTTTTAGGTGCCGCGCCGATGGTGGCATTCAGGGTCAATGCGTTTCGTCATAGGTCGGGTTTAGACTACAACCCTACGGTTGGGGGGGTCGTGCAATTAGTTCGGCTGATCCAAGCGGAATTCGAAGCAGCTGCACTTGTGTCTGAAAGCCCGGCCGAGAAGCGGGCGAGGAATGCCGCAATCACCCCGAACCCTAAACCGGAGGTGCCCAGTCCTAGCGTTCCGAAGAGTGGGGCGGAGTCCTCGCCAACGGTGGCTAAGGTTCAGCCTGAAGGGGCTGAAGGAAAGGGTAAGGCCAAGGGTAAGGGTAAGGGTGATGGGTCGAGTCAGCTTTGCCATAGGTTTACTGACGCTACGGGGTGTAGGTTCGGGGACAGTTGCATCTTTAAGCATGACCGTGCGAAAGCACGAAAGGAGGGACGCTGTTTAGCGTGCGGCCAAGCAGGCCACCACAGGCCAGACTGCACAGTAGTGGCGCCTGAGAATAGGGTCGTCCAGGATAGCAGTGCGGAGAACTCTCCATCTTCCGGGGCGACTGCAGCTGGTAAGTCTTCCGCTAAGGGAAAGGCGAAGGCCAAGGCTGTAGCTCAGGCTAAGGGGATTTCGGAGGATTCCAAACCGGATGGCGGAGGCTCTTCTAGTGGGAATTCGGGGGGAGGTTCCGCGGGAGCCACAGCACCAGCGGGTACTGAAGCACTGGTTGCAGAAGCAACCCGTCTTCTGAAAGGAGTGTCACTTCGTCCTATTCGGGTGGAGGATTTAGACCTGTCTTGGGTAAGGAGTGCATTGACAAGTGCTTCGGATCCGAATTTCTGTTTGGTGGACAGTGGAGCAACAAACGCTCTACGTCCGGCTAGTTCCGAAGAAATAAAGGAGTGCCGGACGATTAGGGTAGACTTAGCTTCGGGTGGAACCGAGCTTCGGATTAATGGGCAGGGAACCTTGCTTCACAGTGGAAATTGCCAAGTAATCCTTCCGGCCAAGTACTTAGTGGATTTGGGGTACTCCATCTCCTGGCGTAAAAAGGGCTGTAGGATAAAGCATCCTAAGAGGGGACCCTTGGAAGTAACTTTGGCTAAGGGCTGCCCGTTGATTCCAAAAGAGGTAGGTTTGCAGCTCTTGAGGGAGTATGAAGATAGGCAGTTGGGGCTACCAGTGTTGAGCAAGGCGGAGGCTTTTGATTTGAGCTCGGGGATGTCACCCAAGGAGGCCCGGTCGTGGTTTAAGGACCGAGTAGTAGGAGGCTCACTATCTGAGGTGGACCATTTGGTGTACCTTCGGTCTATGTTCCCAGGGATTCCGTTGAGAGTGCTGGTCGGGGTGTGTACCCCGAGGTTGAACCAAGAAGCTGTTGATTGGGCAGAGTTACCGTGGAATCGACGGTTCAGACGGTCTGTGTTCAAATCGTCGGCCGGATCGGTATTGCTTGCTATTGAGCCTTTTTCTTGGACGTGGAAGGGGAAGGGTAGGGTAGTGAAGCTAGCTGATTCGGCTAAAGGTTTGGGTTCTTCGCTGGTGTTTCAGTTAGTCCTTAGGTGGGCTGAGCTGGGACTGATTGGAGGTTTGGTAAAAGGGGAAGGTGGTCATCCTGAAGCGGAAGGGTCCTTACAAGGGGCGTTAGGGCAATTTCTGGAAAGGCTTCAGGAGGGTCACGAGGTTGATTGTTCCGGGGGAGGCTGCGAGGAGTTGGTGAGACTTCTGAGGTTTTTCCTAGTGTTTGCAGTAGCACAAGCAGCAAGGGAACACCAGAAGGATGTCACGCCCGTTGTACCCAGGGTAGAGACCCGTAACGCGCTGGAGAGCCCCGGGGGAGATATTCCTTCAGACTCAGGAACAGCTGTAGGCGATTGGCCGAGTAGTGATACACCTATAGGGTCCTCCCTGTCTGATCTAAGAGGTGCTTTGAGAAGGGTAACGGGATCCGGGGGTGTGGAGAAGGACCAGGTGGACGGTCGGGTCTTTGTGGTCTTTGGTGAGAACTCTGTATCGACGAATGGTAGGCCTAGTCTGTGGCGGGACCTTGTAGGGGCGTTCAAAGAGGTGTACGATCTATATGATGTTGGTTTTGATCAGGGCTGCTTTGGGGCACCTGGGGTCTATGCCTCTAGGTTGGTTACATCGTCGTGGTTTTTGTTTGAAGAGTTGCACCATTGGAGGATAAAGGAAGAGGATCGGGAGTCTCTAACAGTATTGCAGAACTATTGCCCTGAGGAATGTGGATTGAGCCGGTCGGGTTGGACTCCTGTGGTCCTTCGGATTATTCAAAGAAAGTGGGTGGAGTGGACTATGGAGTCTTTGAGTCAGGAGAAAATCGAAGAACGAAGGGTTATTCTGAAGCGGCTTTCGGAGGCGGAGCGGTATGAACTTCATGTAAGGAATGACCATGTGCCATACAAAAAGGGTTGTCCTGTATGCATTGCTTCACAGGGGAGACAAAGGGCGCATTGGAGAAGCTCGTGCCCAGGAGTGCATTCACTGAGTGTGGATATCTCGGGACCGTTCATTAAGGGGCGCTCCTATGATGTTGAGGCAAGCGGTAGGGATAAGGGAGATGGCTATCGGTATTTCTTAGCTGGGGCTTATACTATCCCAGATAAGTTCGGGGCCGAAAAAGAAGATGTTCAGGATACAGACGACTATTACCCTTCGGACGATGAGCAATTGGTGAAGGAAGGCCCTGTTGAGGAGGGGAGGCAGGGATTCCCCGATGATTTTCTTAACCTTCCGGAATTGTTCGAGGATGAGGTTGGGGTAAAGGTTGTGACTCGGCGGTTTAAAGGTAAGCAAGCTGAGCCGGCAGAACTGGAAGAGCTGCCAACTCCTGTGACAGAGTCGGTCCCTAAGGAGTCCTACCGTACCCTGTTTATCGGGGTACCTCTTCGTTCCAAGAAGGGTAAAGAGGTTTTGTTGCAAGTTCAGGGCTTGGTTAATAAGTTGGAGGCTTCGGGGTTCCCTGTTCAAAGGTACCATGCAGATCGGGCTAAAGAATTACGCTCGGCTGCGCTCATTGCATGGATGAAGGAGCGGGGGGTGCACTGTACTTGGACAGCTGGGGAAAGCCCAGCTGGAAATCGAGCTGAGTTGTCTGTCCAGTCCTTAAAAGGGTTTATACGGAAGCTCTTGATAAGCTCTGGTTTGGAAAAGCGTTTCTGGCCCCTAGCTTTGATTCATGCTTCAACTCGTAATTGGTGTAATTTTGTGGAGTCTGTTGGAGTATCCTACCCTAGGCTGTTGCCGTTTGGTGTTCAAATACATGCCCGTAAAAGAATGCGTACAGGATACGACGCTCAATGGGAGTCACGAACACTGCGTGGTACGTACCTGGGGCACGCTCCCAATACACCAGGGGGTCACTTGGTCTTGGTGCGGGATGCTGATGGTGATAAAGTTTTGCTTACTAACACCATTTATCCGCTCAAGGACCAGGAGGTTGAACCGCGTAAGCCTCGTTATAGGCTCGTTGGCAAGCGCTCCTCGCGCTTTGCTGTGCGGGTGGTAGCTGCTGCTGAGTTTGAGCCCAAGGGTTCCAGGTTTGCACCTGGGGGGGAGTGCTATCGGGAGAAATTTTGCGATGATGATGGTTTTCTTTCGGACTCTGAAGGGGACGGAGGCCTAGTGGAGGTGTTGCCTTTAGGATCCGGGATCCTGTTTGAAAAAGACGATGTTTCTGGAGACGAGTGTCTTCGAGAAACTGACGATATTCCTGAACCCGTAGCTGGGACTTGTGTTATGAAAGCAAGGGTAGGGAATATCGCGGGGTTTTCGGATGAGGAGTGTCTTCAGGTTCTGGAAGTAGACTTTGGGATTCCTCCCCCCGCACGTAGACCGGTGCTAGGGCGCCAGGGAAGGGCAGCCGTGCTGGGTTTATACGGGGTTGGGGGTTTCCATGGGGTATCTAAAGCAGCATCGCTAAATCCGGAGGTGACGCCCTATCTAAACGAATTTGTTCGAGAACAGTGCCCTCATCACCTTTGGACCACATTGTATGTCTCTAGAAACACTGTGATGCCTTTACATAGGGATCTTCGCAATGCGCGTGGGTTTCCTGTGCTCGTGAGGGCAGTCGGTAAGTTTGTGGGTGGAGGCTTGTGGATTGAAGGTGAAGATGGAAAAGGGGATTCGTGCCGTGTAACCCCGGGAGGATTTAAGAAGTTTGGTTCGGTTCATAACGTTCAGGCTTCTTCGGTTGTGTTTTCTGGTGAGCGGTGGCATATGCCTGAGGAGTGGGAAGGCGAAGTTAGATGGGTAATAGCCGCCTTCGTTCCGAGGGATGTTGATGGAACGGCGCCGGAAAGCTGGACCGAGCTTGAAGGGTTGGGATTTCCTGTAGAAGGGGTGCGAGCTAAGCTAAAGGACCGAGAGCGAGGGAGTTCTAGGCCGGTTTTGAGCGGTTTGGATAGTGTTGAGGAGCATGGTCGTCGTACGGGTTTAGATGAAGGGTCTGAGTGGGAGCTAGGGTTGCCTGTTCTTATTTTGGATTTAGAAACTAGCGGCGATTGGATGCGATGGCATGAAAGTTCCGCTCGGCTGTGTCGTCTTTTGTCTGAAGAGCTCTGTGACTCCATCGGGGAAGCCGACGGGCTGGTAGGAGTTGCGCACCAGCTGCGCAGCGCTGAAGTTTTGACCGAGTGGCTGGAGGGTTGTTTGAATGGATCCGGGGTCCCAGGGAGCGAAGAGTACTGTGTAAGAGCACTTTCTAAGGAGATTGCTTTGAACCCGGGATCGGGAGAACCGGACATGTTCCTCCAGACGAGGACCGTAGGTCTTATAGAAGCGCGTAAGGAGTTAAGTGCTTGGAAGGAACCGGCCCAGGAAGAGGTATCTAATCTTGAGGAAACCAACAAAGCCGTAGAACGTGTAAGTTCGGAGGAAGTAGAGGGCTGGATTTCTCAGGGTGTTACGGTGGTGCAGTTGCCGGGTAAGGCGGTTTTGACTAGGAAGTCGGGTACTGGTAAGAGGAGATTTAGGGCAGTGTGTTGTGGAAATCATTTGCCCACCGAAAAGTTGGGATTGACCAAGGAGGAGCTTTATGCCTCGGGTGCCGAATCTCTTTCTGTTAAAGTCGCAATTACCTATGCTGCACGGAATCGAGCTTGGCAAGGAGTCACTGTGGACGTGAAGTCTGCCTTTCTTTATGCCCCTATAAGGAGCGATACCAAGGGTACGGATGAGCGTATCATAGTTAAGCCTCCCTACTTGCTGGTAGAACTAGGGTTGTTGAGAAAGGAAGACCGCTGGTGGATTCGAAAGGCGCTCTACGGGTTACCTACCTCTCCCCGTGATTGGGGAAGGTACAGGGACTCGGAGTTTGGTAAGTTTCGTTTAAGGTGGCAGGAGCGGGAGTATTTGTTGCAACAAACCAAGACGGATGATGCACTGTGGCTGATTAAGCCTGCGGATGCAACTTCGGCCGGAGAGACGGTTGGAGTTCTTGTCGTGTATGTCGACGACTTGGCGTGTTTTGGACCCGAGGGACTACTTCAGGCCTTTTTGTCGGCGGTGCAAGCCAAGTGGAAGACGTCCCCTCCTGAATGGTTGGGTGAGCGGCCCGTCACCTTTTGCGGAATTGAGATTGCGCGTAACCCCACTGGCTATCGCTTGACACAGTGCGCCTACACCAAGGAGTTGATCAACCGGTATAATATTGAGGAGTCGTGTGCTGTGCCTATTCACAAGTGGGTGGAACCGGAACCAGCAATTGAGCCCAGTGTGGACGACATCAGGGCAGCCCAAGGGGTGACTGGGGCACTTCTCTGGTTATCTACTAGGACAAGACCGGATTTGTCCTATGTCGTGTCACGGTGTGGTCAGCAAGCAACCAAGGCACCTCAGGTGTCAATTGCGTTAGGCAGGCAGGCTTTGAGCTATCTGCGGGGGACTTTGGATGTCGGTATTGATGTGCCGTTTGCAGTTGGTAGCCCTTTTTCGGATCACGGGCTACTGTCCCTTCCCCGCACCGACAAGGTGTTGGAGCTATATACTGATGCCTCTCATAGCCCTGGTGGGGATCGGTCGATGCAGTCCTCGTTTGTCGTGTGGAGGGGAGTGCCGGTAGCCTGGGAGGCGAGCCGCCAGCCTTTTACGACGTTAAGTTCGGCGGAATCCGAATTAGTATGTATGGTTCACGGAGTCCAGGTGGTGGAAGCGGTTCAACCTTTGATAGACGAGTTGATAGAGGATGACTCAGTAATCGCTTTGCTTGCAGACAACGAAGCCGCCATCAGATCCTTTGAATCAGTAAATTCGGGGTGGAGAAACCGACATTTGAGAATGCGAGCCTCAGCAGGCCGAGAAAGAGTCGAGGCAGGCCTGTTGAAGGTCTCACACCTTCCAGGCGAATTTCAAGTCGCCGACGTGGGCACTAAACCGCTAACTAAGGCAAGGTTAATGCAGCTTCTCGAGCTGGTCAACGTAAGGTCAGCAGTAGGAGGGGCAGGGTCGGTAGGGGTTGCTAGGGTTTTGAGTAGACTGACGCTCCCGAGTGCCCAGTCAGCGTGTAGTTCGGCGGAATTGTTGGCAGGCCTGGCAATTTTGGCTGCGGTGCCACAAGTGACCGGGCAACCAACCGCTGAACGGTTTGAAGAGGGCACAGGCTGGTTGCTTTGGTTTTTCGGAGTCTTAGTGACCGTGGCTTGCCTGATGTGGGGTTGGTGGATAGCCCAGGGTTCTGAAGGATCTGAGGAAGAGACTTCGGGATTCAGCGAGGGTGAGGTTGCCGGTCTTGGAATTGAGGTTCGGGGTGACTCCGGAGGGTTTTCAGAGGAAGTGGCCGTTGCTGACACTTCCCCAGCTCGGGCAACCCTTGAGCCTGCGAGTGCTGAGCGCGCGGTTGAAGAGGATGATGATTTCACTGAAGAGGAATGGGCCAGGGCACAGGCTAAGTTGATTTCGGAGGAACTTAGAGTTGGGTTGACGCTAGTGCAGAGGGCCCGTGTTCGACGAGCTATTTCGCGAGGTGATGTTGTAGACCCACCTACGTTTCAGCAAAGGTACGGACCGTTGCCGGCTTGGTATGCTGGGCACGAGAGTTCGTTAACAACACATCCGGTAAGGCAGGCTCCAGTCTTCGAAGTGAGTGTAGGAGCTGGCATGATCTCGGATCTGTTTGTTCATTTGGGGGTGTTGTTAGCCACTTTGCTTGGAGCTCAGGCCAGGGAATGGGGAGAGCTGTATGGGGCTGCTAGAACCCTTCGGTCGAATGGGAGGGTTGCTTTGATGTTGAGGGTGAGAGACGCAGGTCTGAATAGGGTTGCTACCGGAAGGGGATGGTCGGTAGAGCTTCAGTTCGAGGAAACGGACGCCGGGAACCAATGGCTCCCGCTGGCAATTGCTCCGGCGGAGCCCCTGCCTGGTGCGGAAGAACCATCTCTTTCTCCAAGTCCAGGGGAACAATTTGGGGGTAGCGCAAGTAGTACAGACCTTGTCCCATGCCCTAATGTGCAAGTAGGTGGCAGTTCTAGCAGTCATGAACCCGTTGGTGTGAATCCGGCCCTACGCCCTGAGGTTCAGGTTGGGGGGAGCTCCAGTAGCCATGGCATGGCAGTAACAGAATGGGACTGCTACGAGGATTGTTTTGAAGTACAAGAGGAGATGAGTCGGTTTCCTTTGGTTGGTACTTGGTATGTGGTTCATTTTTTGGTGCGGTTGTTGTCGTTGGAAGGGTTTCGAGTTCTGTGGTTCTTAGGAGAGGGGTCTGAGGATTGGCTTGTTTTGAGGGTTACTTCGGGTATAATCCGGTGGGCGGTCGTTGGTGCCCTAGCTGACGTTTGGCGGCAAGGGCCTAACTCCTACATGTTTGAAGGGCCGCAATGGCATGCTACTGTAGAGAATCACATGCGTGTGAGGGTTGCAGTTCGAAGGGCCGAAGCCAATCAGCCTGCTTCAGAGAGCGCAGTTGTAACTTTCCCGTACAGGCTGGATCCTCCACCCTATGCAGTGCATTACTTGTGGCGTTTGTTCGCACAGAATGGGGCATTGATTTTGGCATTGTTGGGCGATCGGGTTGCTGAATGGGCTCGATTGAGGGCGGTAGCTGTAGGTTTTCGGTCCAACGTTGTGTACACTCTTATTATGTGGCTTAGGGCTACAGGGCCCTACCGGACCGCGGACGGCACTGTCTCCTTTGATGCAGCCCAAGAGTATCTCCGAGGGGGTAGGAGAGAATTTCCTTTTGAAGAGGAAGAAGACGAGGAGATCGATGAGAGGCCCCATAGGGTTAGGCCTCCTCCGCGTGTACTAAGGTTTTTACCTATTGAGTCGTCTTCTTCTTCTGAGGAGGAGAGTGGATCGTCAACGACGGACCCTGTCTCCAGTCCTGCTCAGAGTAGCTCGAGCGAGCCTGATTTTGGAAGGGATGCAGCAGGCCTTCGGGGAACTTTGGAGGGATCGGTTTCGGCTGTTAGGGTCGTAAGGTATTCGGCGGTAGTTGGGGCCTTGAGGGTTCATTACGCCGATGATAGCTTTGATGTGTCCCTTCGAGGTTGGTCCTTGACGGCAATCCAGGATGTAGTCCGTGGGTTAGAAACTGGTGTTTGGCCGGATTGGACCCAAGCTCTTCAAGACATCCAGAGCGATGAAGGCGAGTCGAATGCAAGCGGGAGTGCCCCGGGAAGGGAATTTGCTCAGAGCTCAGGGTGGACATGGTTAGCCTTGGGATTTTGGATGCGGTTCTTTGTGGTGTTTTGGGTGTGTATGGGTACTGTAGGGGGTACTTCGGAGCTTGTCATTGATCGTGCCTTGGTTGATTGCTCAGTGTCTTCCTGCGTTAATGTAGACAAGCGTGTCGTTGCCTGGGCTGATGATGCTGTATCCTTCGGAACCGGGGGTGGTTGTGATGGGTCTACCTTGTGGGAGGTTAGCAAGGTTTTGATCGTCATTGTCACTTGGGAAATCCTACGTAGAAGTTGGACGTTGTGGACAGGACGAAAGGCCACTCCACTTGAAAGGGAGTCTCAAACAGATGACTCCAGTTTCGTGCCTTTGCCTCTGCCTCAGGGCATTCCTTACAGGGCACGAATTCTCTTTAGCCTCTGGCGGGCGGGTTATAAGATTGACTCGGAGTTCTATCCTCAGGAGGTTCAGGATGAGTTGCATTGGTTGATAGGCGACCATTTAGTTGCTCTCGAGGAGGGTGATCCTTTAGACGACTCCTCGGGATAGGACTTCTTGAGTTGGTGACCGAGCAAGCCAGGAGGTTTTTTAAAAAGGGAGCATGTCAGTAGCCACAGTCTTGAGACGGCGAGAAGTGGATCACTGGGAGTATGAAGGCTAAATAAGGGCCCAGGATTTTAGAGCGTACCCGAAGGTGTAGGCTATGGGTTTCGAAGGTCAGGTACTCCGGTGTAGTCCACTGCAGTATAGGGGATGCTGAAGGTTCGCGAAACCGAATGACTCCAAAGGAGTTCACCCCAGAGCACAGTTTGGGGGATCGGAATAGAACCCAGTTTTTGTCCCAACGTTAGTCTGATGAGTCACATTGTCTATTTGTTGAAATTGGTGTCTTGTTTTCCGGAAGGTACCCTATCACCCTTACTTTGGAGGTAAGGGTGAGGGGGAGTGCGTGGAGTGAAGCTCTCTATCTCTCTCAGTATTTGGAGGTCGGACATGTGACTCACCTTTTGCATACCAGGCTGTCTTTTGGCTTTGAAAAAAGGTTGATGCTCAGTAGGCCGAGTTCTTCGGGCTTAGTCGTAGATTAGGCTCATCGGTTTCAATCTGGGTGTGTCTGTTCGTCATTGTCTTTCTTGATTATACGTA